ATATATATATATATTTCGTAATAATATTGAAAATTTAGAAACTTAACTAAATTTATATTTCACTGAATATATAAATCTTAAATATTTAAGAAACATTAAAAGAAAAGTAATTTCCTGCTTTGTGTAGAAATTAATATTATTAATATCTCTCATGTATTATTTAATTATTATAATATAATTTTGTATAAATTACAATTGCAAAATTATATTGCAGGTCTAATAAATAACCAAGATCTTACGTATGAAAGTGAATTACTGTCATAATTAAAGTGGGGAAATGATATATAAAAATAAATTGTAACGAAAATTAAAAACTGAGCATGGCAAGTTCATTGAAAAGAATTGCATGCAACATTATAAATGATGTATTTCCTTTGTCCGCGTTGCACAATGCCGTTAATAGCTATAATATTTCACCTTGCGGAATTAGGTTTTATATAAAAGAACTGAGATTTTGGAGATTAGTATCAAACAAAGAACGTTCAGATATAGAACATACAATGTTTTCTAAAGTATTATTACATGTACTTCTTATTATAACTAAATAATTTATTAATATTGTTTTCTTTATTATAGATTTTAGCCGTTTCCGCTCTGATAGCTTGCGCTCAAGCAGGTATCTTTGATCTTGGACACCAATCTACATCTTATTCTGATGCTCCAATTGCTCATTATGAAGCTCCGATCCATAACTACAATGTAGTTCCAGCAGCTCGCTACACCACTCCAGTTTACAAGACAGTTCAAAAGAAAGTCTATCCGGATACTTATGCACAGTATTCGTATGGATATGGTGTCCAAGATCCTAGCACCGGTGACTACAAGAACCAACATGAGGAACGCGATGGAGATGTAGTTAGAGGATACTACTCTTTGGTCCAACCTGATGGTGTTACTCGGATTGTCCACTATACGGCCGATGCTCTTCACGGTTTCAGAGCTCATGTTGAATATAAAGGACAGCCAATTGTACAGACTAAAGTCTTTGTTCCAGTCAAGACCCTAGTCCCTCAATACCCTGGTTACCATCATTAAGAAAATACATTGTTAAATTTGATAATATAGTTTTGTAAAGTAAAATATGCAAATAATATATACTATATAATTGTGTTCTTATTTATTTAGTTATTTTTTAAAGAAATATCTACAGTTAAAAAAATAAAACTGATAAAATAAATGATCATCTATTTTCAAATGCAAAATGTATATGATATCATGTACGTGAGGTCTAATAAAAGTTCGCTTAGTTGGCGTTAATACATTTGTTTCTGAAAAAACAAAAGTTGTTTCTCAATTTGTTAAAATTTCATGTCAAATTTTAAGAAGATCAGTAAGAATGGATCAGTAAGAAGGTTGGTAGAAATTCCATCACCAACACAACAAAAAAATGTTTTGCCATTTTCTATGGATTTCGACATCAATTGAAATTTCGAAATGCATATGAAGTGAATGCATCATATCTTATGATCATTTTCAAGTGATTTCGAAGATTCCAAACCGGGCATTTTTCTGTTGAGAACGAATCTCGTGATGGCCGCCGAAATCTTTCACCGACGACGCAAATGTAGCTCTGGTGAAGGCAAAATGTTTCCACAACATAAAAAATCACATTGACGATGATCAGTTTTTTCCTATGCCGTATAGTATTTATTTTTTTATAATCTATTAAGTAAATATTATGGCGGTTGAGATTTGGTTATATCTTCTATTCCACAAATTGTAAGTAGGGCGACTTAACCATGCGTCTATTAGTCGCCCCCACACTGATTTGAAGATGTATTTGTATAGTACTCATTTGTTGTTTAGCGATAGATTTAAATTTCTTCCCAGCATGCTGAATTTTGGACCTAATTGCTTCCAAGTTTTATGTTTCTTCTAAGTGAGACGTTTATGTTGCCAAGATATTTAACAATTCCTTCAGAAATACTACGGCCAACAGCCCTATGGCCAGATATTAAGAAGATTTTTTAAGTTTACTAAATTGTACCGTAATATAAATCTATATTGTCTAATATATTATTATGGTCTATTTGTGACTTGGCACTTTCGTGCCAGTTGCTCTTCTTTGCCGGAGCCCTACCTGGGCCCTAGGGCGTTTATTGTCCGATAGATAGGACTTTTCGTAGAATGTGGGCTGTTCCCAGCAATGCGATCTTCTGCACCTGCTCGACGTTAACTCTACACGGTAGCTCTTCCAGGTACTTCTCGAATCCGATCTTGAGTGTACCGAGAGCTCCAACAACGACCGGAACCACTTTGGTCTTTGTGTTCCACATTCGCGCAATTTCAATTTCTAGATCTTTATATTTGCACCTTTTCTCGATCTCCCTGGCAGCAATATTTGCGTCAGCAGGTACGGAAACGTCGATTAAGGTGCAGCGCTTTTCCCTCTTATTGTTGATGATGATGTCCGGTCGGTTAGCTCCTATGGTCCGATCAGTTATCACAGCCTCATCGTACATTACGACTACATCTTCCCTTTCTACGACCGGGGCAGGCTGGTGATCGTACCAATGATCAGGCACTTGCTGGCCAAGTTCTTTGATTATTGATCAGTGCAGGTAAGTAGCAATCTTGTTGTGACGGTGCGTGTACTCCGTCGGCGCTAGTACTGTGCAGCCAGCAATAATGTGGCTGACAGTTTCGTCATTCTTGTTACATACTCTGCACTTACTGTCAACGTCAAGGCTAATTATCTTCTTCTGATGGTAACGGGTATTCAGTATATTATTATAAATATATCATTTATTTCATAATTAATTATTTATATTTATTAATTCATATAAAAATGTTTACTCATGATTCTTACTAAATACTTGAACACTTTTCATATTATAATTACGCAGAACCTACATTATTCACATTATCTTTATAATAATCATAAACAAAAATGTGCATATTTTCGTGTTCAAATTCAAGAATTTGAATGGTGCTAAGTTATGTAATTATGTTGCGAATACGAAAATGGAATGGAATCATATAAAAGCAGGAGCATTCTCTGGAACAGTATCGAATTGTACCACAAGCATTCAACATGTTCGCTGAGGTAATACATAAATAATATTTAAAAGTGAATTATATTAATTACTAATATTCAATTATGTTATAGATTCTTGCCGTTTCCGCTTTGGTAGCTTGTGCTCAAGCTGGAGTTTTTGAGCTTGGACATGGACAACATGCCACTTCCTACTCATCCATCAACCAACATGTAGCACCAGATGCCCACTACGCCGCCGCCCCAGTTGTTCATTACACCGCCGCTCCAGTTGCTCATTACGCTGCCGCCCCAGTAGCTCACTACGCCACCCCAATTGTTAAAGCCGTCCACCAAGAAGTATATGCTGATACTCATCCACAATATTCCTACAAATATGGAGTCCAAGACGCCCACACCGGTGATGTTAAGAACCAACACGAAGAACGTGACGGAGATGTAGTCAAGGGATACTACACCTTGGTGCAACCTGATGGTGTCACCCGTACCGTACACTACTCCGCTGACTCTCACAATGGTTTCAATGCCAATGTCGAATATAAAGGAGAACCAATTGTACAAAAAGCTGTTGTAGCCAAAACTTTCGTTGCTGCTCCAGTGTACATCGCTTACCATCATTAACCAATTGAACTGATTATCATATAATTTTAAAAAATAAAAACATATAATGCATAGTTTGTTTTACTTTTTAATCATGCACTGACTGAACTATATAAATATTATTATTAGAAATTATTATTATTTATTTAGGTTCAAGTGCTATTGTATGAATATATTTATTACATAGATAATTTAATACGAATTTAATATCATATGTTAATTAAATTTGTTTTTTTGTAATTGTAGAAATATATTAAGAACAACTATATACTTTAAATTCAATAAGTTGTCTCTAAAATATAGTTTTTGTTATTTTTCAAATTATCGATTGATATGAAATAACAAGTTAATATCTTCGATTGAAATTATTCTGGTCTTAGTATGAACTATAATTATACAATGGAACCTCTTAACAATCATTCGTCGTAACGCGAAATACTCGTTAAGCGAACCAAATTTTCCCATATAAATTAATGTAAAATACGTAACATAGTGAAACAAATACTTAAGAAAAATTATGTATAACGTTTATTCAAAGAAAATAATATATACATTGTTAAGGAGCCTGAATCATCTTTTCTTTTTTTCTATCGTAGACTGAACTATCTTGGAATACCAATTCGTTTTGTAGAAAATAAAAAAATAAATAATTAGTTTATTATTTACGATACATATCTATATTTTATTAATTCCCTGTTTTTATTCACATATGGCTATCTTTTTGTAATGGTTTTTAAACTTTGCATAAAAAGAGTCACACATAATATGTCTACTTCTCGTCACTCGTTATGCGAGAAATCGCTTGTTCAGCAAGCTATTTTTGTGAATTAGAGAATTATCTATGAATTTATGATTTTTTTGTCTGTTACAATGAGCATTATTGATAAATTATTAATTTGATATATAATAATAGTCAGAAATGTAACTTATATATAACAATTGAGAAATATATAATACGTTTTTAATAAACATAAACTAAAATTTGCATTTTTTCCTGTTCAAATTTATGAATGTCAATGACGCTAAGTTACGCAATTTTGTTGCGAATACGAAAGTGGAATGGATTCATATAAAAGCAGGAGCATTCTTTCGAACAGTATCGAATTGTATCACAAGCATTCAACATGTTCGCTAAGGTAATACTTAAATAATATTTAAAAGTGAATTATATTAATTACTAATACTTAATTACTAGTATTTAAAAGTGAATTATATTAATTACTAATATTTAATTATATTATAGATTCTTGCCGTTTCCGCTTTGGTAGCTTGTGCTCAAGCTGGAGTTTTTGAGCTTGGACATGGACAACACGCCACTTCCTACTCATCTATCAACCAACATGTAGCACCAGTTGCCCACTACGCCGCCGCCCCAGTTGCTCATTATGCTACCGCCCCAGTTGCTCATTATGCTACCGCCCCAGTTGCTCATTATGCTGCCGCCCCAGTAGCTCACTACGCCGCTCCAGTTGCCCACTACACCGCTCCAGTTGCTCACTACGCCGCCCCAATTGTCAAAGCCGTCCACCAAGAAGTATATGCTGATGCTCATCCACAATATTCCTACGAATACGGAGTCCAAGACGCCCACACCGGTGATGTTAAGAACCAACACGAAGAACGTGACGGAGATGTAGTCAAGGGATACTATACCTTGGTGCAACCTGATGGTGTCACCCGTACCGTACACTACTCCGCTGACTCTCACAATGGTTTCAATGCCAATGTCGAATATAAAGGAGAACCAATTGTACAAAAAGCTGTTGTAGCCAAAACTTTCGTTGCTGCTCCAGTGTACAACGCTTACCATCATTAACCAATTGAACTGATTATCATGTAATTTTAAGAAATAAAAACAAAAATGACGAATAAATTCTATATTTTGTATACCAATATATTTATTACATAAATATTTTTTTATATTAGAGTTGGTGATTTCAGCATTAGAATGTCTGAATAATATTGATGAAATCAAGACATCTGTCGAGAATAACTCGCACTAGAATTAATCATAAACATACACATGATATATACTGAATAAACAAAATATCGATATATGAAAGTTTTAATTTCGAATTTTAGTGAAAAATCGGAATGAATAAGAGTTTTTTTTTAATTGTAATTATTTGGGTAATAAATTTTGAACAACTATAAAATGTTCATAATTCGTAACTCAATTATGAAATATATTATAATTATTTTTTAGCTTATTGAACATTTTATTGAAAGGACTTAAGTAATCAAGATGCAATGACATACTTCAGAGATTTTATGAAAAATATATTATTATAATAAATTTATATTGCAAAGATTTTGTTGCTTTTATAGTAAATAATAAATTATTTATTATATCTAGTAATTTATTACAAATAGAAATGTTATATTCAGATGCTTTAATCCTGTTTTATTTTTCTTGGGTGGTTATGTACCAATTGGTACACTCTGAATTACTTCCCAAATAAATCTCATATTTGAAAAAAAAAATATACGAAAATTTACAGGTTTGTCTTACTTATGTCGATTCCTTCATTAAATTTATTTTTTTATCAAAGAAATTTAATGAAATATATTTATATTAGTATGCAAAAGAAAATTAGATTTCAGTATTTATAAAGTTTTGTTAGTATTAATATTATATATCTACAATATTACATTATTAAACATACATTATAATTAGAATACATGCATATTTATTTATTTAATATACAATAATAGTCAAAATATAAATAAACATGACTTAAAATGTTCGTGTTCAAATTCAATAATTTGTTATTATGTTATGTAATTTAGTTTCGAATACGAAAGTGGAATGGATCACAAGCATTTAACATGTTCGCTAAGGTAATTCGTAAATAATATTTATAATTAAGATATTTGTTTTACTAAAAATAAAGTATATTATACTTGCCGATTCCGCTTTGGTATCTTGTGTACAAATTGGAGTTTTTGAGCTTGGACATGGACAACATGCTACTTCCTACTCATCATCAACCAAGATGTAACGCTTGTTGCTCGCTCATTATTCCGCCGCTCCAGTTGGACATTACGCTGAAGCGAATATGAAATTAAATTCTATATACAAACTTTTATTTAAAATATTAATTATGCAAAATGTAATAGTAATTTGTTAAAACACTAAATAATCTATATACATTATGATAAACAGCATTTTACAATACATTTCTAATTTGCGTGATGTTATGTAACATATTTCTCAAATTTGGAGTGGAAATAATTCATATAACATGCCCCAGCCGTAGTTAAGACCGTCGCCCCAGTAGCTCACTACGCCGCCCCCCTTGCTGCTTACCACACCGCTCCAGTAGCACACTACGCCGCCCCTGTTGCTGCTTACCACCATGTACCAGCTGTTGTCAAGACTGTCGCTCCAGTAGCTCAATATGCCGCCCCAATCGTCAAGTCTATCCACCAAGAACTATACCCAGACACCCACCCAGAATACTCTTACCAATACGGAGTCCAAGATGCCCACACTGGTGATGTCAAGAACCAACACGAAGAACGTGACGGAGATGTTGTCAAGGGATACTACACCTTGGTCCAACCTGATGGCGTCACCCGTACCGTCCACTACACCGCTGACTCTCACAACGGATTCAACGCTGAAGTCGTATACAAAGGAGAACCTATTGTACAGAAAGCCGTAGTAGCCAAGACCATCGTTGCTGCTGCCCCAGTATACAAAGCCTACCACCATTAAGAAAATGTTATTGTTGAAATTATTTATTGAATTATAAAATATATATTTTAAAACTAAAAAATAGTTTTAATTGTAATCACCCCAAACTGACTAAATCATTTTTGTCACGTAAATAAGTAAACAAAATAATTATGTTCAACATAATTGTTATGGAAATTTTAAAATTCTTCTTATATCAAAACACCAAAACTGTAGCAATTTTCAATAATATTTTAATTTAATTTTAATGGTTTGCTTGTTCTATTTTTTTATGTCGTATAATTTTATTCACAATGTATTCATCGTGAACAATGAGTAAATTTAAGATCGCGGTCGACATTAATTGGATAATCTTTCCCGGTGGATAGTTACCATTTGTTGGTTGGCTGTCGTCTTGTAGGTTAACTTCAGTAGTATATTGATGCTGTGCGATTCCACTATTTCCTTTTACTGTGAATTTGCTGCTATCCTTAATACTGTCATTGTCCATCAACTTGGTTGAAGGTCCATATGCTTAAAATTTAAATTTAAAGAAAATATAAATATATAAAATTTACATCTTCACATTTATATCGATCTTAGTGATTTATATTATATTAAGCTTTTTCATTAAGGTTCGCTGTATTGTTCAATATTGTAATAATTAACATATTTTCTTTGCAACACTTACATTTTTATTTGTAATATCAATATAAATTATTGTTATTATTTAAATTGTTTTAATTTGTTCATATTGAACCTCATATTAGATTAATCATTATTATTTATTATTAAAAACAACAATGGTAACAGAATCTAAAATTTGCATTTATTCGTGTTAAACTTGAATAATTTCAATGGTTATAAACTCCTCCATCAACCAATATGTAGCACCTATTGTCCAATACGGCCGCTCCAGTTGCTACTCACTATGTCGCCGCCCTAATTACCCACTACGCCGTCTCACTCGTGATCACCCGCAATATGACTGTGAATACGGTGTTCTAGATGCTCATTCCAGTCATATCAAGAACCAACATGAAATACCCGATGGAGATGTTGTCAAGGAAAGTAGAATACAAAGTGTCGATCGTCTAAAAAGTATCGTCTGTTATATCCAAGACCATCGTTGCTGCTGCCCCATTATATAAAACGTACCACCATTGAAATCAGTACATGCAACAACGTATAATATATTGACAATAATTAAAAACTTAAGATAAATTTTATTAGAAACTTTTCTTTATTGTCTCAAAGACAAAAAAGCTTAATTTGTAAATGAGCGGTTTAGATCAACGTTGTGTTAATTATTTTGAAATCAGCTAATTTATTTATAAAGTTAGACCGAAAAATCGACGGAAGCCCATTGTAATGATACGTGAAAATTATTTCATGCATTTTAGTACAGGAGTCCCTGTATTTACGCGGTACTAATTTTATACGAGGGTTTTTTTAGTCGTAAATTAGAACTATATTTCCAGGGTATTTTTTTATACGCGAAATTAATTTACGCGGTCTTAATATTTTCAGTAATAATTAAGGAAAATGTTGCAGCGAATTTCAGAAAATTTATGAAAACTTTATAGAAGAAAATATTGATAAAAATATCATCCGAATTTTCATGCAACGAAGATGATAAGTTTGTGGCAATTATAAGAAAAGGTATAGTTGAATAAAAATTTAAAAAATGACACAATATTATATTTGATAACTTTTCGACATATTTCATACAGAAGTGGGCAACTGTTGGTGTTTCGAAATGTTACAAAGTAGAGACTTCGTCGCCACATCGTTGTTAGAGTATTCAAAGAGGATATGGTTAATTGTACCTATAGCTCCACACAAACCAAGGCCCGACTCAGATAGTCCCACTCTGTATAGATGAGATGGGGATAAGGAATGCCCAGAACGTATTCTTGAGAGTGTGGAGACTTGACGTTTTTTATAGATACCTAGTTCTGTAAACCATGGGGTGCTCTTCATTGTCCTATGGAGCAATTCAAAGTAAAGCCTTCCTTTGATCTGACTGTCCAAAAGGTATTCTTCCTGCCACTCCATCATGAACTATTTTATGTTCTCAAAGAAGGGAAAATGCGGTACTTTCATATTAATAATAATTAAATACTTGGAAATGCTTTATGAATACAACAAAATTTAAAAAAAATAATTCAAAATTAAGTAAGTCATTTTTATTCAATAGAACAAATGACCAGTCTTTTAGAATACGAATATGTTAATATTATTGAATGCTTGTGATACAATTCGATACTGTACCGAAAGAATGTTCGCGCTTTTATATGAATCCATTCCACTTTCGTATTCGCAACATAATTACATAACTTGAGATTCTTGAATTTCAACTCGAAAAAAATTGTAAATTTAGTTTACTGTTTGTTACAAATATATTATTTATTTCGCAATAATAACTGACTTGTATAATGAATCCTCATATTAGTTTAATGATTGAAACATCCATTTTCCATTAACTATATACATATTTTCACAAATACTGTAAATTCTTTTGTTTGATTTAGCTTTAATGTAATTTAGAAACCGCACACCTACAGAATATATAATTTTGTTTGGTCATGTACCTTATAAATATTATTAATTCAGAATAAATTAATGTATTAAATTGTTTAACAAAATCTTTCGGG